CTACAACTTTGGAGAATAGGCGGGAGTTTCGCAATACATATCTAACACTATAAGCTATGCATGTTTTTAAATATAAACTTAATCTATACAAACGTTGGTATTAAAATAAATATATATTGATAAATTCGTTACATATTACATGTACACATTTTAAAATAACAGGTGTATCACACCAGCAAAAGTTTAAAGTTGTATTGTTTATGTTGTTAATTTTTAATAAGTTCATATAAGGGTCTTTCCACCCCAAGTGAAACTAAAATAAAGTCAAGCCTATGGTCAGAAATTATACAGATATGCGTTCTTTACTATTGTAAAAATCGACACTAGCAGAAAGAGGCAAGAACAACTTTCACTGATGTACTTTAATTTAGTTGTTTTCCTATTACCTGTTTAATTTAGGGCAAAGCCACATTGGGCTACCTGCTGTGTCCACCGCATGTAATCCAGCCCGGATTGTAGCGTTGTAAGTCGTAAACTAACCGCTGTCCTACCGGGGGACGAAGTGTAGATCATGCTTATCGTATCTGCACTGTCTGTGTATTTAAATAGACGGCCAGGAAGTAAAATTAACGAAAGATAACTTTTTATCGTGCCTGATTACACGAATTAACCACAACACCTCTAATTCCATAATCGCTAATATTCTTGACTTACCTAATCTAATTACAACGCTAGAATCCAGGTTTCGATACCCGTAGTGGGCAGAGCACAGATAGCCCATTGTATAGCTTTGTGCTGAATTACAAACAAACAAACCTAATCTAATATATATATTGATAATGAAGATGTACTAGAGGTTTTTATTTTTTCGAAGGTTTCATTTGGTTGTTGCTATGCCCAAATGGTTACTATTGAACTTTCTTAAATAGTACCAGATCAGACAAATAAAAAGTACCAATGAGTACAAAAGTATCAAATTATTTAAATAGCGTAAAACATACCCAATATCATTAAAACTGCATATCTTCCACTTCCCTGATTTTTTAGGCATAGACCACTAGACCACTTATTGATCATTTCTTCAACTAGTTTCCAGGGGGGGGGGGGTGCCATGACTTCCAATTAGCATCTTGGGAGTAAATTCTTGCTGTGCAGCCTTTATTTATACATCTATCACTGAGGCCTTCTAGAAATCTCTATAGTCTCGACATCAATGAATTACAAACACAAAATAAATAGATTAATACTACTACCTACACTAAACAGTCTTTTATATCTGACACTTACAAATCGGTATATATATATACACGAGTCTCCTGGCCTTATGCGCTTCACTACACAAATACAGCTACGCATTTCTTACGGGGCAGGAACTTCTGTGTTCAGCGTCGCTAGGGGTTGGGAGTCAAATGCTTTCCTCATAAGGTCACGTGAAGTTGAGAAACAGTTTTTTGCTGCAAGAGACTAAGAAGTGAATTTGGTGTGAAACTGTTTTATTTGTTACTAAAGTTTGAATTCCCTCCTAAGTTACAAAATTGTAGAAATACTAAATTCCCAACTCAAGACCCTAGAGAGGTGTAAATACCAGGTATATCGATCTTCCATATTATCTTTTATATAAAACAAATAATAACTTGTTCTCAAATTGTAATTCTGAATATACTAGTTATATTCCAAGCCATGTGTCAATTCAGCCTTCGGTGTCATTTTCTGCAGCCACATAATTATTGAGATAATTGTAATGTGCACTACATTAACTTATGTATGTGGGATTACCGGTGGAGCAGACATACTTCATAGCATTTTTGATTCAATTTCTTGATTGATTATCCATATGAAGAAGGTGAATTGTAAACTGAATTTTGGTGTTTTTAATAGATTCATTTCTGACTTGGAAGAGTCAAGACTAACCTTTGAAGTATCGTCCCTGTTTTCAACTGTTCTACCGCTGATTCTGTTTCTTGCTCCAGTAATTCAACACCGATTAGTAGTAAGTTTGTTTATTTACAAAATATATTTTAATTTATCTTCTGTTAAATATAGTGTATTTTCTTTGTGCTAGACGATATTTTCAATATATTCATTCTTACTTAACTTTAAATACTTTAATGCAATAGTCCTACCATCTTTACGGTCAACTAACTATCCTTCGTTTTTCTAATTATAAACAAAGTGATTGTTTTTATTCATCTTCTTACCTACAATAAATTGCTAAACTTGTCCTCTTATATATTAGATCCACAAATCTCCATTATCGCGAAGATTAGGTGAGGTTAATCCATAGAATGAGAAGAAAGAGCTCACTTCTTTAAATTTTTAAATAAAAATCACATTTGAATATCAAGGTAAGAAATTTCAATACCAACATAAATTAGACACCTTTCTCTATTACGTACCAAAATAAATTTTGTTAATTTTCTCAGAAAGACTGATTGCCTTTGCAGTAGATAATATTTACTTATTAATGTGAAAATATCAGTTTTTACTCTTCCGATCACGATAAAACAAGAAAAGAAAATGACTTTCATTTGGATGTGTTTGTGATCATGATACCACGGCGCCCCCCAGTGGCATAGCGGTATGTCTGCGGAGTTACAACGCTAGAATCTGGGTTTCGATACCCGTGGTGGGCAGAGCACAGATAGCCCATTGTGTAGCTTTGTGCTTAATTACAAATAAACAAACAATAAACGATACCACGGCTACCAACTTCAGCATATTGTGTCAACTTGTCTCTGTGGCCAGTCAGCTCCACAGTTTCTGGTTTTGTGTGATATTACTGTCCCCCCCCCCCAAGTAGCACAGCGGTATGTCTGCGGAGTTACAACGCTAGAAACCGGGTTTCGATACCCGTGGTGGGCCCATTGTGTAGCTTTGTGCATAAATTTAAAACAAACAAACACATGATATTATTGGTAACAGTTATAACACGACCTTTCCAGTTGTATTCCAGATATTGTAATCAGATTGAGTGAAATGAACTCCTGTTTCGAGAGTAGTTCTTATTTGCTTAGATACGTGATATGCAAGTATATCGTGCATTTTCTACCTACTGTAATGATGTAGATGTTTCCAAAATATTTGATTACTTAGTTCCTACACTTTCAGGTGGTCATTAATATTAGCTTGTTCTAGTAGCCTAGTTTATTTGTTCTTTTTAGTAGGTGACGTATTATCTGCCCGCAAGGATATTTCAGCGTTGTATGGAGCATCCGCGTTGAACAGGTTAACATATTCTTTGCTGGCCGATTATGACGTTGACTGAAAATGACAGCCGACCAATGCTGTCAGAGAGCTGAGGTCACGAGGTTACATCGTCCACTGTATCAATTAATTTAAATTCTAGTTTCGAGAGTGCTTTCTTAGTTTAGTTTTCTACCAGGCGGAAAAAAAAATTGTCTTTTTTGAAGACCATCTGTTTAGTTCAGCAGTAATCGCTATTGGGAGAAAATAAGATAAAGGCAATCTGGTGGGTGTAGGAAGGACTGTTCACTCACCCGTGTAGGTACGCGTGCTGGTTTTTGTTTTATGTTTTATTTGTGTAATAGAGACTTTTGACGTCACTAACAAGTTGTTCATATCTTTTATTTCACATTTAAAAAGATATATTCAGTAAAATAATCTCTTTCAGAAACTCGTAAATTCATATTATCTGCGCGTTAATCTATAAAACACGCGTCAGAAACTCGGGTTAGCTGAGAATATCAAGGATATTTGTCTTATATAAACAATGCTGCTATTTATAATCGCAGTTAAGATTAATAATAATAAAAAAAGTGAATTTAAAGATATTTTATGTGAATTAGACTCAGATTATCTATTTTTGATAGTATTTTGGCACTTGTGTATATAGTTAAAATCATAATTAATATTCAACGTTAAAGTGGTACACAATTAAAGGATGACGTTGTAACGTCGAAACACGTGGAGACGTCTACTTTTTGAAGGCCATAGATAGGCCTAAATAAAATGTTTTTAATTGTGTACCAGTTTAACGTTGAATATTGTTTATTATTTTCACTAAATGTATGTCATTCTGGAAACAATTTAAGAATGTTAAATACATTTAGTTATTCTTTTTGAGCAATGTGTCTTTATTGCACTTTCAATGAAATAAAGAAATCACACATACAGACAAGAGTTCTTAATATACAGTCTATATTTCACGAAGAGTTGGACACACTGCATATTCCTGGCCCAGCATGGCCAGGTGGTTAGAGCACTCGACTCGCAATCTGAGGGTCACGGGTTCGAATCCCCGTCCTACCTCACCCTTTCAGCCGTTGGGGAGTTATAATGTGACGGTCAATCCCAGTATTCGTTGGTAAAAGAGTAGCTCAATAGTTGGCGGTGGGTGGTGATGACTAGCTGCCTTCCCTCTAGTCGTACACTGCTAAATTAGGGACGGCTAGCGCAGATAGCCCTCGTGTAGCTTTGCGCGAAATTCAAAACAAACAAACTAACAAATTTAGTACAACAGAAACTCAGTGGAAGTGCTTGGGTTCAACAAACAGTTAATAATTTGTGTGTCCCCATTTAGCTTTAATAACTGCAGACAGTCTTTCAGGCATTGTTGATATTTTGATGCCATGAAATTTTGTTTAAAATTAATATTAAGTATATGGCAGAGCATTAAAATACAACAGGTGCGTGAATGTTATCGCTAATTTATCTTTTAACACGCCTTATTTCCACTTTATCAGTCTACGCTAGGATGGAAAAAAAAAAAAAAAAGAAAGTACCATGAAGTAGTCATACGTTAAATTTCTTACAGATAACTTAAAAATACTTGACATTCTTGTATATATTTAAACTACTTTTCTTCTCTACAGATTCTCTTACTCATTTTATAAACCTGGAAGAAAAAAAAACATAGCGGATTTATCTACTTAACAGTGACAATATGGGTAGGTGTATCGAAACGTTTCATTGAATATCTTATCAGACTCTTTATCAGTAAACATAACTGACAGCAAGTAATTCAAAAAAGAAACATATATATATTGGCGTTATAAAATTGTCATAAAGGCTGTCACGTATGCATTTAGGGGTATACCTTTCTGAAGGACGGTTTTGTTGAGCTCTCAAGGTCAGTTTATTCATTAACACACTGTATTAACATAATGTTCTGTTTCCCCAGTTCCTTATACTGAATTAGTTATATTTTTTTTATTGTAATCTAATGAGGAATGAGTGGTGCTCTTATCCATTCTGTGGTAAACGTTCTCTCAGTTTTACTAAATATGTTCTGTATGAAGGGAAAGAGACATAGTTTTCTGTATATCCTTGCCCCCCCCCCCAGTGGCACAGCGGTATGTCTGCGGACTCACAACGCTAGATACCAGGTTTCGATACCCGTGGTGGGCAGAGCACAGATAGCCCTTGTGTAGCTTTGTGTATAATTAAGAACAAACAAACAAACATATCCTTGTTTTCATCCATGTCAAAATTACTAATATATTAAGGGTCATTCTGTGCTTATTTAACTTCAGTCACTTTTCTGAAAGTTGTAAAACGAGGTAGGTTTCGTTAAACTATCCACGTGTAGTTTATATTAAAAGGCACCAATCTTGTGAAGTATTGTGTAGATGTGCATTTTGTTGCCGTGATATAATGTTTCTCGTGTAGACTTCATTATATGCTCAATAGATATGTTATTGTCTTAGGATTTTTATACACCTATAGTATTTACCTTGTCTGTATTGTTTAGCTTATATATTTATAGCACTA